TTCAAAGGAAGACAGTACTCATAACACAAAGATATAGTCCCAACCATGTTCCGAATAGCATTGGGATGAAGCTGATCGATGGTGATGTTAAAATGGTTTAGCACCTCAACTATTAAGGGGTGCAAAGGGAGACGCAGGCCAGCCTCAAGCTGTTCTTGGAAGATAACTATGTCATTGGGACCATGCTCCCAAGGGAAGTTGCTAGTGGGGAGGTTGTAGACCAGGTCCCCAGGGAGGTGAAAATAGCGGATTAGATGCTACATCACCAGAGGTCTCCCGAGCCTCTAGGACCTGCTCCCAACCTCCCCCCGAGCTCGAGGGAGCATCGTCGTCCAGGTTATCGCCCCGATGGTAGGTGTGGTATGGGTACCCAGACATGGTTGGCAGTGATCGGGACTCACCAGAAAAGACGAAATGGAGTAAACTGAGAAACTCGGGTAGACTAGACGAATGCACGACCTCAGAATCCGAAGGCAGCAAGATGACATGAAAGGAAATGAGGCCCAGGGGGTCCTCATATTTATAGCCACTGTACCCCCGAATCAACGGCCCAGATCGAAGCAGATCTGACTGCTCATAGTCAAACTGACCGCACGCCTTCTGAAACCGAAATATGACTGGCTGCACGTATCCCACGATTGGGGTAATGACGGTTGCATGGCATCTGGAGTTAAGAGCCGCTTCAACATGTTTTTGGTATTCGAAAAGTCTGAAAATCCCCTAATTCTCGTGTAGGCATTTAATATGAGCAGTCAGTCAAGTTTGGATTTCGATCAAATCAATCCGTCACACTCCATGAACTCCTCGTGCTAAGGGAACACTCTTAGCTTGAAGAGTGGGGGGCAATTGATGGAGGACGATTTGACCCGACCTACTGAGATGATGACACGTGGACCTGACTCAGCACGAGCAACAACTCAGCAGCCTGGCTTGACCGCGACAGAGTAACGAGTCTGTAGAACAGCTCGCTACGTCATAGATCTCTATAGGGAGAGCTCGCTACAACGCGAACTCCAGATCCCCTGCGCTACTGAGAAGGGAATACTCCAAGATTATTTCAGCTTGCGAGCTAGGAAAACCAGCTTGCTCTAGCACCTGGGCAGAAGAACTGCCCCAAAGACCAACCTTGATGAGGGTCACCTCGAAGTACCCCTGAGCTTGCTACAAAGTAGCTTGCGGCAAGGATAGCCCGCTACGAAGTAACTTGCGACTGTGATGCGACGTCTCAGGAAGCTTCCATCTGACAAGACCGTACTCGTCAAACTGTGCCACGTTTCTTGACTGACGGCGCAGTCCCTGCCCAATTGACAGTCTGCCCCACGTCTCTCTACAGATGGTGGCGTGCCTGTCCCTTCGGAGACGTGTCACTCAGCCAAGCAGGCAGTACGTTGTAATGATCACCTGCGCAGCCCTTGCAGGTAACGACTGCGATAGAAGCCCAATGGCGGTTACGCCTGATTTGACAAGAATGCCCCTATAAAAGCCCTTAAAGCGGAGAGACAAACTCTCTCTCGAATTAGATCTGAACTTGCACTCTTACTTGCTCACGAGCTAATCTCGAGACATAGTGATCTAGCGCGATCTACACTCTTAGCCCTTTATCCTCTCTCTTATTCCTCCCCAGCGTTCTAACTTAAGCTTCGGAGTATTCCTACCGGGCAAGTCCCCGGGAATCCTTCTTCTTCATCTTCTCAAGTGCCGTCCGTTGCCAACAAGGAGCCATTCAGCATGCAGCTAGGAGTGCCTGGACCATGCTGCATCAGTTTCTTTTCCTTTTTGAGATATGTTGGTTTCAGATGGGGATACACAATCCAACAAGTATCATTGGTGTATCTCTCCCCCCTTACCCCCCATTTGGGTGGCTGTAGCAAGAGTTGAAAGTTTCACCTGCTGTGTAGCATCCATCTTCATTTCATTCCTCCTAGTCTCTTCATTTCTAATCATACAAAAGACATGTTGCAGGCTAGGTAGTTCCTCCCTCCCTAAAATCTAAGATTTAATGCTTTTATATAAAGATTCAAATCCAACAAGAAACTTGAACACCCTTCTTCAACTTGTTTTACATTAATCTCCTTGTCCTTTGAATCCTTCCAATCAATGATAAGATGGTGGTCAAGCTCCTCCTATAGTCCCCCAAGTGTAGCAAAATAAGTGGCAGCAGACAAATATCCTTGAATCAATGTTGCAATGGAATATGACTCTTTACTTATCAAAAAAAAAATGTTGCAATGTCTTGGGTTAACCTGTACACCATTGTTCATACAAATTGGTGATGGGATTGGTGATCCCTTTAATCCCTCTTTTCTATCCCTCATTACAGTGCATCCCAAAATAATTGTTGTCTTTGTGCCCCTTGTTTTGCTAAACAATCAGCTAGCCCATTTGCACTCCTTTGGACCCATTTAAATTCAGCCTCAACCTCCTTTGCATTCATCTACACTTCCCTAATCACATGTTTAAACGTCCACGGGGTATGACTACTGTTTGCTGCCCAGGATGTGACTACTTTTTAGTCCCCTTCCACCTCAACATGCATGTATCCTAACTGTTTGGCTAGCTTTAAACCTTGTAGTAATGCCAAAAGTTCAGCCTTCAATGAATTTTTGGTGCCAACCGGTCTTGAGAGCATAACCAAAAGTTCAGCCTTCAGAATTTCCGAATGCCTATTCTTATAAGACCTGGATTTCCAACGGAGCTCCCATCAAAATTCAGTTTCACTTTATTGCCTCTTGGTGGTTTCCACTCCAGCCTTACTTTATCTCTTACTTTTGATGAATGTGCTACTTCAGACTAGGTTCTTAGAATGTTTGTGACTAAAAAGACTTGAAAATTGTCCAAGGATTTTACCCAATGTACTACTTTCACCTTGATGCTATCAATCACTTCCTCTATCATTCTTCTTTTTTCCGAGAAAATCCTGTTATTCCTTTCTTCCCACACTATCCAACAAATTGCTTCCTTTATTGCTTTCCACATTACCATCTCTCTTTTCTTTCATTGTCTTAAGAAGTCACGATTGAAGAGTCCTGCCATATATTGAGGGGGAACCCACCTGCAGCCAAAGAGAGTACAAAAGAAATCCCAAATTCGAAGCACGAAAGAAAAAAATATCATTAAATGAGATAGGGTCTCACCACTTTCCTTACACAAAGAGCACATATGAGGAGAAAGGCAAATGTATGGCCTTCTTCTCTGCAACATATCACAAGTGTTTACCTTACCAAGGAATATTTCCCAATAGAAGGCTAGAATCTTTGGGGGAATAGGCTTGCACCAAATTTCTTTCACAGGGAAATCCCCACCTAGGGGGTTGGGGGAAGCAAGTACTTTGAAGAAAGAAGAGCAAGAAAAGATATCGTCTAGAGAGCCTACCCAGATTTTAGAATCTCCCAGCGATAGGTCCAAGTGGATTGGACCTAGAAGGTCTAACAATAGATTAAAGACTCACACTCATTTTCCCAAAGTCCCCTTTTGAAGCCCAAGTTCCAGTTCACACCATTTGGACATGGTGTTCCCAAAATGGATATAGCTTCCTCCTTGGGGTTTGATAGCATAAAGATATCAAGAAATTAGTCTTAAGTGGGGTTTCCCCTACCTAATCTTCCCAGAACATAATTTTATTACCTTTGTCCCACATCGAACTAGATGGAATTGAGAAAGTAGGATAAATTTCATGAATTGCTTTCCAAGGAGAAGCTGAAGATTTATGAGGGGAAACTTTTGCATCTCAACCATTTCCATCCACCCCATGAATGCTCTCAATCACACTGTGCCATAGTCTATTACTCTCAAAAGGAAACCTCCAAAGCCACTTACCTTGTAGAGTTGTGTTCTTTATTAGGATGTTCCTAATTCCTAAGCCCCCTTGTTCCTTAGGTTTGCTAACTTGCTCCTACTTGATCAAATGGTCCTTCCTTTCCTCTCCTGGATCTGAAAAGAAATCTCTCATGTACTTCTCTAAACACTTTGCTACCCTTGAAGGGATTCTAAAGGTTGAAAAGGAAATAGGTGGGGAGGTTTGCCAGTGTGGCTCTAATCAAGGTTATTCTTCCACCCAACGAAATATAATTCCTCTTCCATAGGGCTAACTATCAAACCTTTCTAAGACTAGTTTCCAAAATTCAACTGACCTAGGTTTCCTCCTTAGGGTAGACCTAGGTAACTGAATGGCCAGCTTCTGATCTCACACCCCGAGATCTCAGCTAATCTTATTAGTTCTCTTTCCTCTGAATTAATCCCTACAATTCCACTTTTGGTCCAATTTAACTTCAGCCCTCTCGCTCCCACAAAACTATTCAACAACACCTTCAAAATTTCCACCACTTCCTCATTGTTTCCTTCACAGAAAAAGATGGTGTCATTTGTAAAATGGAGATGGGTAACAATCACCTGATTTCTACCTACCCTCCAACCCCTGATAAGGCCTAGACCATCAGCTTTTGCCACCGTTCTGCTTAGCACTTCTGCCACTAGGTGATGTGGATTGGTCCAGCCATTATTGCAAGAAGGCCAGCAAACAAGTTCTGATTTGGCATGGGGAAGACTCTTGGGACTTGGACTGAGCTGGTCAGGGGTATTTAGGTCATTTTAACTAGTCCTGTGTGGGCCTAGGCTATAACATCTTGTTCCTCTAGTTTAGTAGACTTGTCTTTCAATTTTTAGTTTATTTGTATTAGTAGATAGAAAGCTATTGTGTTTCTTGATGCACAAGACAAGGAGTGGCATTTTTGTAATTATGGTGAATAGTATTCCGGGCCACACAAGTCACTATATAAGTAGATGTATTATCTTCGTTTTGAAGCTAATGAATGAATTGAAGATTTCTTTAGAGCTCTTTTTTCTGTATGGAGTGATTCCTACAAGCCCTAGAGTGATTCTAGGACCCCTTGGAGTGATTCCTTGGTATTTCTCTCTCTCTCTCTCTCTCTTTTCTGTCTTCTGATAGTTCATTTCAGCCCTATTGCATCACTAGGGTAAATAAGAATGGGGATAGGGGTCACCTTGCCTAATTCCTCTCCTAGCCGGGAAGAAGTCCTTTGCTACACCATTAATTAGGATTGAGTATTGGGATATGGTGAAATCAGAAATCTTGGAAGTCTTTAACGAATTCTTCTCCAAAGGGGAGGTTTCACCAGGAGTAAATGCTACTTTTATCACCTTGATTCCAAAGAAGAGGGAGGCCAAAACTCCTAAAGACAGACGAACAGTAGCATGGAGGAGGACAACCAAGACAAACAGTAGCATTTTCCCTACACCACTTTCCATGCGAGTCTTCCTCCATCTTTGGTTCCTTACTCTAACCATTGATATACCCCAACAATCCAGAACTTGTGATAAGAAGTTTTGCTGAAGTAGATCATTCCTTGAAGTTGTGGTCATCCAACTTCACAATGGTAATTTGAAAACTAGGATAACTAGGATTCCCCATATTGAAGAAACCCCTCACTTGAATTGTTTTCCTTCGATGGTGCCTCACTAGTATTTGAAGACATGATGGTCTCTAGCTCTCTTGAAACCTACCCAGGAATTGCAGAAACAATCAGAACCTTTTGGCTTATATGTTGGGAAACCACCCCCCAAACACCAACAAGTAAAAAYAAAGAAGAGCTTGGGCTGCACCACTGATCGAACACTTGGTCTGCAACTCTAGTACTTGCAACCTGTTACTCTTCAGCTTTTGAAGTAATAGGCCACAGAACTCTCTTCCAACTTCAATCTAAAAAAATGCAACAGTCCAAGTGTAGTAACTCCTACTTGAGCCACGGTATTCTACTGTCAATAACCCAGAAAACTTCTGGGGCTGTTATGTTTGACTGTCCAGCACATAGACCTGCACCACTAGGTCTCTCTAGTAGTCATACTTGACTACTTACAGTCCATGCTGCTCTAGTTCATGGCCTACCAACTTAGGGCATCCTTGGTCTGAAACTCCAAGGAAGAGACCTAGAGAGAGAAGTGAAACCCTAGAAAGCTGAGAACAGAACTAGGCTTTCAAGAGGAAGAAGAAAGGAACAACCGGAAAGGAAGAAAAGAAGAGAAAAAAGTGATCAGGATCTAGGACAGATTTATTGCTCTGATACCATGAAGATTCTTAACCCTAGATTAGAGGAAAGAAGAGAAAAGAGAAGAGGAAGCTTGAGGAGAAAAAGGGCAGCAACTTATGTCTCTCCTCTCCAGCCCTTTGGTGTTATTTAAATGAGAACACCACATAAATATAGGGATTGACAACTATGCCCCTGCTTAGGTGGCACCAAGATGCAAATATAAAACACAAGACATAATAAGCCCATGCCCATTACACCCAGTAATAAGAAACAAATACATAACAGAAATATAATGGGCCAGGCCCATTCTATTAAGTCCCACAACAGTGGGAAAAGGTTTGTAGGCTGAAGGAGATTGGGGGGAGGGGACTACGGTTTCAAAGAATAAAAACTTTTAATAAAGCTCTCCTGGGTAAATGGCTTTGGGTTGGATAGGAAGAGGGAGTCCTTATGGAGAGTGGTGGTTGGGAAATATGGGGTGGTAAGGTTTGGGTGGGAACTGAGAGAGGTGTCAATCTCTTATGGGATGAGTGTTTGGAAAGGTATTATGAAATTCAATCAGGAATTCAAGGGCTTGGTTAGATTCAATGTAGGAGATGGAGCTAGAGTGAGATTTTGGGAGGATGAGTGGCGTAGGGTTGGAAACTGTGTGATCTATGCCCAAGGCTGTACAGGTTTGCTGAACAAGTTAAAATTTGCTCAACCCTACAATTCGCCCTACAATTCTCTTCAGATGAGACTTGATCCACCCTACAATTCGCCTCCGGTATCAGCACCTTTGACTTCCTTCCCCTTCTCTTGAAAATCCTTTTATACCTATTTGTACGATCTGCCCCCACTAAACCATATTTCAACTTTGAGAAAACTTAGGTCACATTCTCCTCTTAAACACATCAGATTTATTCAAAGTCTCCACCCCTTTGGAAACTTTTGGTCGCGTAAGTTTGAAATCTCTCCTATTAGAAACCCTTAACCTGTTGGAACAAAAAGAGGTCTGGAGGTCTGGAGTTAAGGCCATCTTTGGACTTTAAAAAGTGGTTCCCACTTAAGCCACAGCCTTGTTTGCAGGCCTAAGTCTTTTTTGAATAAGTCAGACTTGTAGATTGACCTAGAGGAATTTGAGGAGATTTTGTAGGCTTCTCTTGGGGGAAGGAGATAAGGGGAGAAAAACCTAGAGAGAAGGCAAGCAGATTGGGAGCAGCCGAACCTCTCTTCTCTTCTCTTCTCTTCTCTTCGCCCCTCTTCTTCATTCTCTGATTTTCTTGGAATTTTCACCATGACCATGCGTGGCTAAAACTCTTGTACTTGGTCGAAAGAAGCAGAAGCCTCAGAATCCACCAAACTGTGAGGTCTAATTTGGTTTTTATTGTTTAATTCATGCTTTGGATATCGAATGTTCTTCTATGTTTATATCTATGATTGTTTCGTTTGATTGCTACGAAGGCCTGCTAGTTTATTATTCATTACAATTTATTGCCAGATTAAATATCAAATCCGTAATTGTTTGGTCCCTCTAATCTGCGAAGCAACTAGGGTTTAATGATTTGTTGTGTCAGAAATTGTTAGATCCTAGGAAGGACACTCGACTGAATTAATGCAACCGCTTGTGCTTGTGTTATTTAGCTTCATTGATCTCTAATGCTTAATGCTATTGCTGGATTAAATTTTAATGCTTGTTTAGGGGTTGTTCAGTAGTAAGGGTTAAGAGGATCGCTTGTTTTCCGATTAACTGATATTAGGAAGATGCAGGAAAATAATTCCTACGATGAATATTCAAAGTCTGAATTGATTTATTTTTGCATCGATGAGCAGTAGTGAACTTCTGATGGTGGATGTTATCCTATACCAAGATTCGTTCTTTTGGTTAATTACAGTACACTAAATTGCCTTGCTTCCCATTTAAATTTTGTTCTCTTTAATCCTGATTTTCTTTCTTTCAAATATGGTTTTCATGGGAACGATCCTTACTCGCACTACTACCTTTTATTCTCACGAGTATAGGTTTTATTTTTGGGTGCCTACGACAACACGCCAATTGTCTTCGGATGATAGGTTACATTAATGAACTTGAGGCTTTTGGATTCGGGCTTGACCATGTCACGAAGGTAGACGTCATCCTGAATTCTCTGTCTCCTTCCTTCAATCAGTTCATCATGAACTACAATATGAACAAGCAGAATGTCAGCATCCAGGAACTCAGTAATATGTTGTACAGGGCCGAGGAACTGATTAAGAAGGATGAGCCCATAGCTATGCTTGTTGAAACTGGCAAATCGGGCAAGAAGAAGAGGAAGGCTAAGAGAAAGCCCTAGAAGAAGGCTGCCAAGTCCAAGAAGCAGAAGAATAATAGAGCATCAGATGCTTGTCACTTCTGCAAGCAGACCAGCCACTAGAAGAGGAACTGTCCTCAGTACCTGGAATCCAAGAAACAAGGTAATTTTGAATCCTGTGTCATAGAAACCAATTTGTTGCTAACTTCTGCTTCCTGGTGTATTGAATCCGGGGCATCAACTCATGCGTGTAACTCACTGCAGGGGTTCAGGATAAGCAAAAGACTGAATGATGGAGAAGTAACTCTTTACTTGGGGACTTCTGCAAGTGTTGCAGCTACGGCTATAGGAACCGTAGAGTTATTTTTCAGAGAATGATCTATTGTACTAAAAGATAGTCTTTATGTACAGAATTTGAGAATAAATTTGATTTCTGTCTCAAAATTGTGTGCGGATGGATATTCTATTCATTTTGGTAATACGATTACTATTAAAAGAAAAAACAAATTCATCGCATACGGAGAACTTGAGAATGGTCTCTATGTTCTTCATCCTTCTCAAGAAACTAAAATAGCCGAAACTATGTCGGTTGATATCCCCAAGAAAAGAATCCGTGATATAGTTAATCCCGCATGCCTGTGGCATTACCAACTTGGCCATATTAATATAGATCATATCACAAGGTTGGTAAAAGATGGTCCTTTGGATTTTCTAACTGTAGAAGATCTTCTCACCTGTGAACCTTGCCTTCAGGGTAAAATGACGAAACGGCCATTTAACGGTAAGCCTGAAAGATGTACAGGCGCACTTGACCTTATACAAACTGATGTATGTGGTTCCATGAGTGTTAGGACTCGTAACCAGCACGTGTACTTTATACATTCACCGATTATTACTCTCGGTATGGTTACGTGTACCTAATGAGACACAAGTCTGAATCCTTTGAAATGTTCAAAGAGTTTAGACAAGAGGTCGAGAAATAGTTAGGGAGAGAAATTAAGACCCTTTGATCGGATCGAGGTGGCGAGTATCTCTCTAACGAATTCAAGGACTACTTAAAGGTCAACGGGATAGTATCACAGCTAGCTCCTCCTGCTACACCACAGCTAAACGGTGTGTCAGAAAAGATGAACCAGACTTTATTGGATACGGTCCGATCACTTCTCGTACACTCAGAGTTACCCACATCCTTTTGGGGTTACGCATTGGAGACTACGATATACGTGCTGAACCGGGTTCCAACCAAATCAGTTCCGAAGACTCCCTATGAGCTTTGGACCGGAAAAAAACCAAGTGTGAGAAAATTGAAGATTTGGGGTTGTCCGGCACACATTAAAAGAACGAGTGCAGACAAATTGGAATCGAAGACCAGTCGTTGCCTATTCGTAGGCTACCCCAAAGGCTCTGTGGGTTACCTATTCTATGACCCAGGAGAACAGAAAGTGTTCTGTAGCCGAAATGCCCAATTCTTGGAGGATGATTACATCCTGAACAATCATCATCAAGAAGTTGTTCTTGATGAGGAGAGCTCAGGGCCAATGGGAGGTGTCCCACAAGTTCCAGGTAATGACCAACCTAGAAGATCTACCCAGGTTTCCAGGCCTCCAGTTCGTTTTGGCTATGACCAGGATAGTTACCTGGTGGAAGCTATGACCAGTGAGGAGGATCTCGTGACTTATACGGAAGCTATGTTCGACATAGATTCCTTGAAGTGGGTAGATGCCATGAGAGCTGATATGGACTCAATGGAGACCAATGGAGTCTGGACTCTAGTAGATCCGCCCCCTGGGGTGAAAGCAATTGGCTGCAAATAGATCTATAAGAGAAAGAAGGGCCCCGATGGTAAGGTTGAGACCTATAAGGCTCGTCTGGTAGCGAAAGGGTATACTCAGAAAGAGGGCATCGATTATGAGGAAACCTTTTCACCGGTGGCCTTGCTTAAATCCATTAGGATCCTGCTAGCTGAAGCAGCATACCATGATTATGAGAT